TGCTGCTGGATGTATGGATGCGTTCGTGCGTGCGTGCGTGTGCGTGCATATGCGCGAGCTCTCGGTGTAGTCGTGAGACTAATTCCAAGGTCTAACTAGTGGAGCTCTACCGATGTACTAACGCTCCATTAGGAGTGTTCCCAACTTTGATATCATTAATGATTAATGATTAATGATTGATAATCCTAACCCTAACCCTAACCCTAACCCTAACCTAATTGACATTAAACCACAAACTAATATATGACCATATATATATATACATATATGTTATTATGACCATTAATGACATTAAAGTTGAAAACACTAAAATTGGGGGTCTTAATGGAGTATCACCCCGATTTGGTCCCTTCGCTCGTGCTACAGGCGGACTACTACTTCCTGTAGTGGGTGGGGGCGAAGGGGCTACATTGGTAGAGCTATCAGTAGTGTAGTCGTGAGATTAATTGGAAGCTCATCCACAGCACTATCTACTGCAATAAGCCGGTGCAATCAGGGGTCGGGCAGGCAGAAAGTGTTGGAAATAGCAGCCCCCGTCTCCCAGACCGCTAACTTGTGAGCAGGACTGATGAATTTTTATGGATTTTACTGTAGGTCGTATAGTTGGAGTCAACATTTTTCATAATTAAGACTGGCTGGATTTTTAGGCTTATTTCCAAGGCTTTAGGCAGGCATACGCGGCAGTGGCAGATGGCAGTACAGTCGTGATCCCTCCGTTTATATCTTTCTCTTTCTCGTTCTCTCTCTCTTTCTTTCTCTCACGCTCTCTCCCTCTTTTTCTTTCGCGCGCTCACTCTCTCTCTCTCTCGATCTCTCTCTCTCTTTCGTGCGCGCGCTCTCTCTCTCTCTCCACCCCTATCTTTCTCTTGCACTCTCCTTCCTTTCTCTCGCCCTCTTTCTATGAGAGAGAGTGAGAGCGAGAGAGAGAGAGAGCATGAGCGATCGTGAGCGAGATAGATATATATAGGTTTGCATATCTTGTGGCTGGTAGTGCCAACCCGGTTATCAGTTTAGCCTGTTCTGTAAGAGAATCTATTAGTTATTTGATAGTGGGGGCGCGATACGGCCGTGTTTGGCTAATAAACAAGTAAAACTAATATTTGCTCGTGGGTAGATCTCTGTACACATCGTCGGTGCGTTGTGATAACTCGTAAGAAGCAACAGGTACTGCTGGTACGTGAGCGCGATAACGTAATGTAGATGTGACGTCATCGCTGCAAAGCTCATATTATTTGTGACTCGACGACCGGATCGCGATTGGCTGAGAATCTTGGGGGTGTGTGTGCAAATATTTGAGTTCACTGCATTTTTTTTTTTTGTGTGAACTTTGTTGGTGTATCATGTTTGATTGAAGTGCTTATAATAATATATGGATAGTCACCTGAAGTTTTGTTTGTAATTCAATAGATATCGCTCTGTTGAGTATGAATTATGATTATGCCTTCATCTACTGCCATATGGCATTGTATTGATAATTCTGTAGATGACGCACTGTTTGATATGTACCGTGATTGTGATTTCTATGTTGGGCCATATGGAATTTTATTCACAATTCTATAAATAGCACGATTGACCATGAATCACCACGATTGAGATATTTATCTATGTACTATGAAACATCGGAACGAGTTTCGGTTTGGCGTTTGCATTTACTTAGTCAGTCACGCTCGCAGATATCTAATATCAAACTGGCTGGAATCGGAAACGTTTTAGAAATGACGTTGACAACTGTCGTTGTGATTTAATCTCTCTCGTGTGTCTTGCGGCAGACAGGATGGTGCAGTGTAGAGCAGCAGCTGCTAGTGCATCCTCTCTCGCCAGCTCCCAAGATCTGCATCCGCCCTCCCCCCACCTACTCACGCGTTGCTGTTGCGTGTTCGCTGACTTGATAGGTATGTATCGGGCAGAGGTAGCCGATACTGGAGAGGGAGAGCGGGGGAGCACGCGTGGATGCGTCATGGCAGTACGTCATAGCTATTACGTACCCTCCCTATCATCACTCACCAACCAGCCGCCGACTACCATCCGGATGCTGTGTTGTAGGGTGACCCCTAATGAGTAGGACGAGAGAGGGGGGGGGATGAGAGATTGAGAGAAAAAGGGTAAGAGAGCGAGAGAGAGCGCGCGCGAGAGAGTGAAAATGAGAAGTAAAAGAGAAAGAGAGAGAGGAAGAGGGACTCCGAGGGAGATATAGTGAGAGAGAATGAATAAAAGGCAAAAGAGAGAGAGAGGGGGGGGGAGATCCCTCCCATCATCCCCTCTCTTTTTTTTCTCCCACTGATAGCGATGACTCAGAATTATGGGGAAGGCGCCATAAACAGACAGATACAGGACACCCTTTATCAACACGAACTTAAAAAAAACACACATGCAAGTTGCAACGTTGATTACATCATGGTGTCGTCTTACAGAAATTACTAAATGAGACACGAGCATCTAACGGATGACAATCCGTTATCGTGATCATTTACGTGGCATGCTGTACGTGTGCTACGTGCTGGGAGTGTGTGCGCGCCTGTGTATATGCGTGTGCGGACGTGTCTTTACCCGTGCGTTCGTACGTGTGTTGTGTGCGTGCGTGCGTGCGTGCGTGCGGCGTGCTTGCGTGTGCTATTATTGCCCCCACTCTACCGCCGCACCGCTTACGAAGATTGCACTGAACTCTGGTTGCCTTCTCCGCCAATCAACACCCCCCCCCTCCGCCGTCCCACCGCGCGCATCAATGAAACATTTTCCACGGCAGGACGACAGTAACGGGATCCCGGATAGCAATTAGCGAAAATCCGGATTTCCTGTGTAAACCGGTGCTGAGTCTCGGGCGGACGGACGGGCGGCACTATCAGTGGGCGCGATCAGTAGCTGCAGCCGGGTGATGTGACATTCCGTAGTAAACGCGCTTGTAATGCGAGCGCGCTACCGGCCGAGGGAATGCGTGTGGAGTGCTGCTGCTGCTGTTGTTGGGCAATACCGTGTATTCAATACTGTGTAAGGCACGACGGCCTAATTGGTCTCGCAGAAATCTACTTGCGCTCCATTAGAAGAAGATCCGTCTGGGAATAGAGGCTGCAGAGTCACAGGCTCACATGCAGTGTTGTTTGTGTGGTCCGTCGTTCAGAGAACGGTCTCAATGTGCAATGCACGGGATCGTTTCTTGGAGCGACGTTCCACCCACGTCGCCCAGCCTCCACGTACTTAGTGCACTCGCTTGCTAATGCACGCACGCACGCACGCACGCACATACCCACTCACACACGTATGTACACGCTTGCTCGCTCACTCACTCACTCACTCACTCACTCACTCACTCACTCACTCACTCACTCACTCACTCACTCACTCACTCACTCACTCAAGCACTCACTCACTCAAGCACAGACTGACTCACTCACTCACTCACTCACTCACTCACTCACTCACTCACTCACTCACTCACTCACTCACTCACTCGCTCGCTCACTCACTCAGTCACTCACTCACTCACCCACTCATTCACTCACTCACTCATTCATTCATTCATAATCCACTCGCTTATTTAAATTCAATTTTAGTAATTTAAGACTTAGTATGGTCTTAGCAATTGCTCATGCTCTATTTGATATACTGCTGGGTTGTGGTCAGTACACAAAACCTACATAGAAGGCCCATATATCAGTGTCTAAGATAACGTACCTGTGCGTTGACCCACTGGCGAAATGGCAGATACTTGTACTGTGCGTACGTGTGTGTGTGCGCGTGTCAGTACACTTAGTACGTTCACTCTGCTTGTTTATGGTACTTAGGTAATGGTATAATAATAAGACTATGGTCCGGCAGCCATAGCGAGTGGAAGTGAATCTATCCTGATGCCAGGGTGCGTGTGCGTGCGTGTACACGCGGGGGTGCGGTACGTGTGTGCGTGCGTGCGTGCGTGCGGGGGTGTGGTATGTGCGCGTGCGGGGGCGGGATGATGCCATACTCCCCGGATCTCTCTCGATGAATGGAATTCCTCGAGTGTTTCTCTAGCCGCTCGCTTGCATCACCACGCTGGCGGAGAGTGAGCATGTAAACACACACACGGGGCTGTCAATAGGCTGGCTGGCAGGCTGCTGCCTGTCTCCGCTCACACACCGTCGTTGCTTGTCAGCGGACATAAATAATACATGCTACACCGCGGTTAGCGATAGGTCCATGCATCCGGCCGCGTCCCCTACTTGTGTTTCTGTCTGTAACGTGCGTTTGTTAGAGACAGAGAGGAGAGGGAGGGGGAGAGGGAGAGAGATGGGGAAGGAGGGAGGGAGAGGGGGAGAGAGAGAGAGATAGCAGTAGGTATGATTTACAAACGTGAGAGGCAGATGAATGTGTGGTTCATAGAAGCGATATGAATCGCTGCCGATGATGATTCACATTCTTCTGATTGCTCTCTAAAGTTGAGCTCCCTAAAGAGCAAACCCCTGATTGTAATGAAGGTGGTGGTTAGCTTCCTCTGCATTCTCCTTCCCCACCCCACCCTAACCATGCGCTATTTCACTGAAGACTGGCAATGAAAGAATTCACTCACACCATAATTGTTGGTTTCGATGTATGGTACGATTTCATTGCAGTAATGAATACACAAGTGTCTAACACTTTGGAGTGGACTAGTGTTGTAGCTACTACTAGATACGCTATTACACAATACACACGCACGCACTCATTAGACCAATGTTGCTGCTGCTGTTGCTGTTGCTGCGACTGTTTCTTCTACTGCTGC